CCTTTTTTCTTTTAACTTTTTTGGTTGGGAATTTGTTTTGTTTTTTTTTCTCTATTCTCATTGGTTGTTTGTGATTCAATTTGAAATATAAATTTGAAATAATTGATGTAGTGACGAAAAAACGGTCATATTTTAACGGCCATATTTTTCTTATATATTACAGCACTCTTCATAGATTTCCCTTCCCGTTGGAGAACAACATCCAGTGGAGATCGTTACCGTCTTCGCCGTCGTGGACCAGAGTAAAGACCAGAGCAGAGCTGGCTTCCCACATCGTTAAATCCGCGCGCGGAGTCATGGCAGGAACCAAACGCCGTTACGGTTCCGACGACGAAGGGAAGAAAGTAGAGGTGAAGATGGTGATGAACATTGCGAAGAAGACCAGAGTTGGAGAGGCAGAGTATCAGCAGATATGCAGGGCGCAACAAGAGGGACATGCAATTGAGGACCTGGAGAAGTTTCTGATCCGCTGCCAAGATCACCACGCTGCTTCCACGCGAGGACGATCAGGATTTGAGAGGATGTCAGTGGACGAACTGAAGCGTGTGGCAGAGGAGCACGTGACGAGGGTCGAGAATGGCATGCTGATGACTGCGTCGGATCGAGGTTCAATGATCGATTTGGTGTCTCGGAGGGCTTTGAATGAGTGGGGGCGAGTGCTGGTTTCCAGACTCGGGAATGCTCTGGTTGAAGTGGAGGCGGATTCAAGTGGTGGTGGGGAGTGCAGCATCTGCCTGGCTACCAAGATGAATTCAGTGGTGGTACGATTGTCTGGTTGTGTGCACAGTTTTCACAGGGACTGCATTCTTCAGTGGCTTGTTCACCACACGCCCAACTGTCCTCTGTGTCGCTCCTCTGCTTTACCATCTTTTTTTTTGGTAGGACTGCTTTACCATCTTTGTACCGCCGTTAGATTTTGTTTATAATTCTGATTGAAATGTAATATGTAAAGACTACTATTGAGTTTTGAAAAATAATCTATGTTATTACGCTGTTCAAAGGGTCAATGTTGTTCATAGTCTAGTGACTTATCATGTGGTGGTCTTTCCATTAACAGTACAAAATTAGGGATTTCTGACTAGCATCTCTTAAATGGCTACATGGTTACAAAACCTATAAAAT